AAGGCATACAGTAACCTTAAAATGTTTCAATGAATATGAAACTCGGGGATAATTTTGAATAGTGATTGATCTCATTGTCAGGTTGTTGATCCCAGCGCCGTATATCCCAAACTAGCCCTTAATGACTAGTTATTCTCTCTCGTGTAAAATAAGGTATGACTTCATAATGCTGCCATGATAACTCAGATCTTGGTAAAATGTATATGTCATTTGAAACTTTCACTTTTCTCTAGCACACCAGTAACGTTCAAGTTTCTATTGGATATTGAAAATCCTATTGAGCCACCTTAACGATACATACTTAATCTCTTTTACTATCATCTGAATTTCAATAGCGTGGTATGATGCCCCCCATACAGGCTCATAGCGCACAGTTAACACCTACATAGGATCAGTAATGCATTGACTTAATTAAAACGAATAATATTATCTTCAGTAATAGCTTGAATTTACTATGTGAAATTAATGTATACAAAAAAACACCCACAAAGTTTGAATTTCACCTCATGTAACAGGTACATTCTTCCTGTGAATAGAATACTCATTTGAAAACTGTCACTACGGGAAAAAGAAACCTAGAACAACACCTACCACTCCAGTCATTCATGACAACCATTCCAAAAATGTGGTCCTGTGCCTGTATAGTAAACAATCACAGACTGTCTTTTCTTTCTGATGTATCAGTCACAGCTCCTGACAATACAGACTCGCTGCTTGGTCAAATACTCAGCAGGCATAATAATCTTGAAAATAACTTAATCAATTTATCACAAGTATTTATAAAAGTATATTTAATTAGCCCCCATGTATCTCAGGTTTTGGGTACATGAGGCAACCCTGGGTAAGTTAACTTTTTACACATAAACACTCTGCCTGCCTACCCTGGAAACTCGATGCGTGCCAAGTGTTAGATGTTAGGTTATAAGCAGAGATTTTACATCAGGTTGGTAAAAATAAACACTGCAAACTTTCCCAAGAGAAACTTTGTATTTATAAGGCTTTGTGTAACCATAGTTAATTTGAAACCCAGTTTCCTCAGCAAAAAGAGCAATGAAGAAATCGAACATGCAGTGTGTGATTTCCCTATGAAGTTTTTGTCACATGGAGCGTATGCGTAGAATACAAACCTCCCGTAAGTGACCACCCAAAATGTCAAGCCTAAGTGGTCGCTTACGAGAGCTTAGACCATACTGAGTCAATATTTTGCCTCATTGGCATATGGTAACTGCAGAGACTTACCCCGTGTTTAAAATGTTTCATTCATGTGAAAGGTCAATTTCGAGAAAAAATCCGGTTCTTTCCATTGACAAATGTCCATCTCTTGTAATACTCAGGAATGCGATGTTAGAATACCTTACTATCCAATTTATGCTCTATTATCTGTCAAGTGGTCGCTTACAAGAGGTTAAAAACAAAAGAAAATTTCCAACTTTTAGCTCTAAAAGTGGTCGCGGTCGCTTACGAGAGGTAGTCGCAACCAGAGGTTCGACTGTATTTTTATTTTCCCCGTGAGAGTTCAACTGTATAGTTCGTAAAACACTTTGTTCAATATCCAAAGGTGCTTTTAAGTTATATATAATTTTTATAAATATACTGATTAAAAGGTAAATTTAAAGATGATTTCCAGGCCGTACCACGCAGTCTCAGCACCCTAATGTTTATGAACATGATAAATCTCACTCGATGGAATGTGAATCAATGTTATTCGTTACGAACCACATACCTTATCTGAGACCTTTCAAATTCTTTTTCCAACGGCTTTATTGATTTCTTCAGCTGCGAAGTTGTTTCATCAAGTGATATGAGAGAGAACAAAGCATAAAGCTTCGCATCCATAAGGGCGGTTGACTTGAAACTTTGAATTTACTTCATGGAAATAGTTGCAAAATGTTACATTTTGTGATGACTTACATGAAACAAAACAAAAAACGTAAACAAACTCTCGAGAGCGCGAAGCACGGACTGGAAATCATCTTTAAAATAAAAAAAAAGATAAATAAATAGCAAATATATATAACATAGTTTACCTTATTTATAGCAATAGGTTCACCAAGATTGTTTCCTGGTCCACAAAAGAATGCCTGTTAGAATAACGTTTGCCTATATTAGAGGAATGACAGATCAAAAGCAATACCTACAAGTTATATATGATTTACAAACTAGCATTAATTGATGCCTTTAGCTTCCATTTGCTTTCATTTCTGGAAGTTCAACCCTTGTTAACCCAGTAGACTAAGGAGGCTGAGGGTGGTTCATGTTTTGCTCCTGGTTTCTTCTTTATTACTGTTTTGTCGATGAAGAGACCCCTGCCACTCCTCAGCTAGACATGGCTGGAGGTTTGAATCATGCAACATTTGATGTTTACTTGCCAAGAGCTATAATTAAATCACCAACCTATAAAAAACTAAAGAATGCTCTACTTTGTACTTAGTGTGTATTATCAGAAACAACTAAATTTTTTTCATTTGTATCACATCTTTGATATAGACAATATGTCTGAATATATAAAATTGTCTGCCATAAATGTTGCCACATTAATCTTAGGAAAGCAGCTTATGGTTAGCTTTTCTTTATTGGTTTTTTGTTGCAAACCTTCACTCTTAACAGTGCTTTTAAAACCAAGAAAGAAATTAAATATTTTGCTGCGCAGTTGCAACTTTTTTCAAGTTTCTTACAATGCGAAAACCAACGTCTTTATTAAACCTAATATTTAATCTATTTAACAAGTAGATTCCATGTTGCCGTGCGTCTGTTCAGTAATAGATCACAGATGAAGTCAAAATGTGGTAAGAACAACTAAGTGGCACACGAGG